GGGAAAGAGATAACATCTGTGCATTTTATTAAACTCCTTTGGATTGACTCTTAGTTAACCCTGCATCTTTCAGATGCTTCAGAAATGTCAATTGTACTTTCTAGGTTGGAGGAAGAAGAAAAGAAAATTTTCTAAGTTTCTTACCTTTTATGTCTCTTACCAGATAGTCTCTAAAAATCCTTCTGGCTTTTATGTTTAATAGCAAGTTATAGTAGCTTTCAAATGATTTGTTAGAATTTGACTACATTTAATTTTTTTGGCCTCCTATGTGAGAGAATTTTATAGTTTAGCTGAATGTTGAGCAAAGTAATTGCAGTGGAATCTGACTTTATATCATTCAAATTAGAGTGGAATTCAGGAGGTCTGTGTTGCATCTTCATTTAAAAGGACTCATACTGAGTACTGGAAGGTCCTTTTCTCTAATAGGGTTTTATCTTTAGTGTTTACAGTTGAAACTCTAAAGAAAACAATATACGAGGGATCCTGCATATTTCATATAATGCTGTATTTTTGATACTACTTGTAAGTATCCCAGGGATCCTGAGATCCCTTCCTGTGTGTGGACTGAATTGATTCCTGTGTGTACTCTAGTTTTTTTTTTTTTTTTCCCTTTATTTTGTTTTTGTTTTACAATTTAGATAAGTTAGCTGTATCTACTAAGTGTGTTTCTTCCTATATTTCCAAATCCTTGAGACTAGATCATGTTAATTTTTTTTTTTTTTGAAAAGGCAAAGTGTGGAATAGCAAAGTAATTCTTAATTTTAGAAGGGTTAAAAAATTTGCCCTTTATAAGATCCAGCAGAAGCAGCAACCTGATATAGTGAAAGAGGATGTAGCCCTGGAGTTAGCACTGCGTTTTAATTAAATTACAGTTCTAACATTTTAGTGACTTGTGTGACTTGTTGGAGCCTCAGTTTCCTAATCTATAAAACAAGGGTGGGTTACCCTTCAGGGCTGTGGTAATAACTAATCACGAAGTTTATAAAGCCCTTAAGACTAATCCTGCCACTTTGAGGGGTCCCAGCAAATGGGAACTCTGTTAGTAAAAGTATAAGCTGTTGCTATTGGAAAGAGACCCAGAATACAGTGGCTCAAGCAAGAGATAAGATTCTTTCTCTTGTAATAAACTGAAGGTCAGTGGGTAGTCCCCAGGATAGGTAGACACCTTTGTTCATGGTAGCCATTCTCTATCTCATTGTTTTTCGATCATGAAGCGTGTAACCACATCTGTGTGGTTGCAGTTGTCTTATCATACCTGGGAGAAGGAGGAATGAGGAAGTGGAGGGCAAGCAGCTTTTGTTTTTATAAATGTGATCAGAAGTTGCATACATACATCCACTCACATTCCATTGGTCCTGTCTTAGCTGCAGGGGAGGCTAGCAAATGTGGTCTCCGGTTAGGCAGCCCTGTGCTCTGCTAAAACTTAAGGGATTCTGTAACAAAAAGGAAGAAGGGGAAAATGGATACTAGGAGACAATTCTCTACAAATCCACTAGTAATAAATTTTACTTTTATTAAGAAAAATTACACACACACGTGAAAGGGACCATAAGAAACAATAAATTTTAAGTTTACATTTTTATTTGATTTAAATATTATAAGATTTATTAATTGGAGACCTTGGGCATCGTATATACTTGAAAGATTCTATGCCATTGTCACTGCCGGTGTTACAGCTCAACACCATATCACTTGGCCTTTAATAGTTGATGAATAGCCTTTATTGGTCAACTGAATTCATCAGATTTTGTTGTGAAATATGCAAAGTTAGGATGCCTCTTTTTTTTTTTAATAAACATTTATTTTATTTATTTTTGGCTGTGTTGGGTCTTCGTTGCTGCGTGCGGGCTTTCTCTAGTTGCAGCGAGCGGGGCTACTCTTTGTTGCGGTCGCAGGCTTCTCATTGCGGTGTCTTCTCTTGTTGCAGAGCACGGGCTCTAGGTGCATGGGCTTCAGTAGTTGTGGCTCGTGGGCTCTAGAGTGCAGGCTCAGTAGCTGTGGCGCACAGGCCTAGTTGCTCTGCGGCATGTGAGATCCTCCCAGACCAGGGCTCGAACCTGTGTCCCCTGCACTGGCTGGTGGATTCTTAACCACTGTGCCACCAAGGAAGCCCAGTAAGGATACTTCTGATACTTGTCTTTTCAGAATTTTATGTAGGGCATTGGCTTTGCTTCCATTATATTGATTCTGATATGTTTTCCAAATGCCTCTTTAAAAATTTTAACTAAAGTAAGAAATAATCTTGTGTGCTTTTGAAAATCTTTCAAAGGTGGTAACTTGTAGCTTGCTGCTTTAGAAATGGAAAATTTGCTTTAATTTCTAACCGTTGGGATTGTGCTTAATGGGAGATAAATCTATGATGTTTAAATTGCTTTTTCCCCCTTTTCCTGCATGTGAACTTGCATTAAAAAAAAATGTATAATAGGATCTGGAATCTCAAGAGAGAGATGATCATGAAGAAGCAGGGATTCTAAACCCACTTGTGGAAAGAGAAGACAAATTTGTTAAAGATCAAGGACTCCATGCTGTGAAACAGGAGGCTGAGAAGCTGGAGGATGGTAAGAAAGAGTTTAAGCAAGTGATAAGTCAGCATCCCTTGGAAAAGAAAGGGTTAATATCCCCTAATACCTTCCAGCTGAACAGTGAATTGGTTATACAGAACAAGAAAAGGTTGATACAGTGGTGGGGGGAGTCTATCAAGCAGTCACAAACATTTGAATGAAGTTACTAAGGAAAGAAAAAGAATGAAGACTGTAAGTCCGTTGCTATTTGGGATTAGGGGATAGAAACAAGTTACCTTCAGAAAATTCAGATGAAGTAGAATTCAGTTGAAAGGGGAAAAAAATTCTTTGTGTATTAACTAAAGCTTGATGAAGAGGTAACTGAAAGACAACCCTGTTTATTGGCTTGACCTTGAGACTGTCTAGTCTGTAGACCAGCCCAAACATTAAAATCAATGAATTGTGAGGCCTTGAATATATTCCTATAATTTTTCTTCGGTTTTAATATATAAAATAAATCTTTAACATATTCAACCATTAATGTGGAAGTTTAGTGAACCAATTCACATAGTTTCAGATACTGGAAATGAAGTTCAGGAATAAATTCATTTCCATTTGGATAAAATGTCTTAAAGGTATAAGCAAGAAGGATCCCAGACTCTAATCCTTTGCATGCATTTTATTGATTATGTATTAGCTGCTTACAGAGAAATACTGTTTTTCCCTTAAAGTTAACAAAAAATCATGACCTAATTGTTGCTTAGAGTATGTATATTTTTGTGTGTGTATTTAAAACAATCTAACAGTTGAAATAGAAGCCACATTTATATCGCTGTTGGCTAAACCACAAAGGAAGACGCTTGCGCATGTTAAACTATAGAGTAGAAAATAGGTATTATGGTCAGTTCTGTCTAGGAACCAGGAAAAGGAATAAAGTAACAGAAGACTATCACTTCTTTGTCATTTTTGACTGATTTTTTTTTTTTTTCCCCTGGAGTCTGTGTGGAATGATCTGATTATCAGTGAGAATATGTGCCATTTATAAAGTTACCAAATGCGTAGTGTTCTTACATGTTTAATATTTTTAGTTTTTTCGTTTAGAAATCCTTTCAAACTTATAGTAAAGTGGCAATAATAGCCAGAGAACCACTTAAGAGTAAGTTGTATACTTCATGGCCATATCCCATATCCTAAAACACTTTTGTATGTATTTCTCCGAAATAAGGACATTCTCTTTTATCATTCCAGTATAGTTTAACTTCAGGAAATTTAACTTGGATACAACACATTTCTCCAATCTGCCGTCCACAGTACAGTTTTGTCAGTTGACACAGTATTGTCCTTTATAGCATTTTCTTCCCTTTAGGATGTGATCATGAGTTGCATTTAGTTCTCATATCTTTTCAGTCTCCTTTCATCTAAAACAGCTTCTCAGCCTTTTAAAAATATTTTGTGAGATTAACATTTTTCATGAACACCGACCCCCTTTTTTAATAAAATGTTTCTTGTTTGGGGTTTATCTGAAGTTTTCTGTTAATTAAATTCAGGTTATTGCATCTTCTGTCAGAACACTGCACAAGTGATGTGTCCTTCTCAGGGTATGACATCCAAAGGTTCAGTTTATTTTTAAATTTAAAATAAAAGTCTTTGCTCCACCCATCCCACCATCCTCCATTCAGTGTACAGCACACTATTAGGTGTAAAAAATAGGCAGAGAACCTTCTTCCTCACCCCTAACTTGAAGAACAAAATTTTTTCTATAATTGTGACTCTTAAGTATATATTAAGTATATGTTATTTTTTGAAACCCTGAATATCAAGTCTAAAAATGAAATTAGATAAAGCTATTGTTCTGTAAAAGATGAGAGTTTTCTTATTTGAAAATACTGACTACTATAAAATCCCAGTTTTAAAATTTGATTTTATACAGAGCGGGAAAGAGAAGAACTTGCTAAAAAGCAGAAGGAAAAGACATCTTTGTTGGAGAGAGAAGAAAAGCCAGTGTTGGAAACTGGAAGATACCAAATGGAAACGTACCAAATTCAAAATACTGATAAGTTGGAAGAAGAGGAAGAAGAAAGGCTAAAGAGAGAAATGCTACTTGCTACACTGAATGGAATCAGCAGAGAACTCCAAGGTTCTTGGAATCGAAAATATCCTTCTCTGCCATTGCTTCCTGATGTGGAATCAAAACTGCGCTCCCCAGAGAGAAACCCCAAAACACACACATTCTTTGAATCCTCAGAGAGATTATTTAATGGGCATCATTTGCAAGACATCAGTCTTTTCAGTACAAAAGGCGACGGTCAGAATCCGGGCAGTATCAGAAAACCAGCCTCTCCAGATGAGCTTGCATTTGGTAGCTATGTGCCTTCATTTGCGAAAAGATTAGGGAAGACAAATCCAGTTAGCCAAAAAAGTAGCCTTTTGGATTTCCAAAGAAACAATATAGAGAAATTTCGTAAAGACAGCGTCGATTTAATTACAAGAAAAGAGAAAAAAGCTAATCTGATGGAACAGCTATTTGGTGCCAGTGGCGGCAGCAGCACTTCCTCTAAAAGCAGTGACCCAAATTCTCTGGCTGCCACCAATGTAGACTTTGACCCTCTAAATTTTCTCCCTGGGGATAAAAGCGGCAGGGGTAGGGAATATGATGATGACGAGGACTTCAGCGAAGGAAGAAGTTTTAATCCAAATAGACGCCAATTAAAACATGCAAACAGTAAACCAGCAGTAAAAGCAGCTGACTCTGTAGAAGATGAAATTGAAGAAGTGGCCCTGAGATGACTGACGGGCGTACATATTGTTTCCAATTGGAAATCTTAAAATGTTTTAATACAGTATTTATTATAAACATAGACTTTTTAATAAATATTAAGAAGTCCTTATTAAGCAATAGTTTTTAAAGTATAAATACAGCGGAAATAAAAAGTAGATCGTATCACACCGCATAGCTAGTTTGCCGAGAAGGAGGCATGCTCTTTTGACTGAAACCGAAAACAGAGATGCATCTTACTTTCTTTTTACAAATAGGTTTTACCTCTGAATCAGCTCAGTGGGGAGTTTTACTCCATTGGCGTACGTATTCATTTTCTATTTCATCCCTATATATTTATTTATTTATTTAATTTTTGGCCCTATCCTCTCTGAGCTAAGTACAGTCTTCCTGCTGATTGTCGAATGGAAATAATGAAGAGTGAGAGGCTCTGTTGGGAAGTGTGGCAAGGCTGAGGTACTCTTTAAGTGGAACAGTGACAACATGGGGACTTGCCATTCCTCCGGAAGCAACCACAGTTAAATGCTACTCATTTCCCAATTACAGAGTCTCGTTAAATCACTTACCTCCAGCTGTGCTAATACATTAGGTTGAATTCAGAAGACGTTTGTTTGGGTGGACAGTTCCCTGTCATGGCTCCCAGAGGCTTGGGTGCAGTGTAATCAGTAATTCGTCTTCTTGATCTCCTACGCTTTTTATATCTCAGTGACTAGATGTGAGAGTTCATACCAAATACACGGAATAGAAGAAATTTCATCCCCAAATAGCAAGATTTTCAACTCAAGTATGTTTCCAGAGTAACGTAACTGGGAAATTTTAATACGTACTTTTAAGACTTGAACTTACTGTCAAACCAAAGAGACAACGATAGTGTGATACTATTGGACTTACAGGGCTAATTTTAAAGCAACCTTGGTTAAAATTGTTTTAGAGATGGGGCTCCTGCCTTGCGGAGTAGGGTGGTTGATTTCCTGTTGAAAAGTGTTTGGTCTTTTGCTGTTTGTAGCTCACTTCAGCTGCAAAGGAGTTGATGACCTTGGCTTATGCTGGGCACGGTTGGTCTTTAAGAAACGGTAATATACCACCAACCAAGGAGAAAACACAGTTCAGATGAAGAGTGGTGGAAATAGTGTGTCAGGGGAAGAATAAATAAATGTTGATTGGCACTTATTCTAAAGTGAACTGTTGTTTTCAAGAATTTACTGCATATTTGCTCGTAGTATGATTTCTCATGCCAAGCATACATACTGATGAGGGGACTAGAGTTACTGTTTTATCTTGAGTTCTTATAAATGCTTATTAGTGAATATAATTTCATAATCCTTTGACAAGACTGACCTGGTTAGGTCTCTAATTAAAAGATGTTACCACCTAGCATCTTCTAAATTGTGTTCCTGTTACTTACTGGGAACTGAATCTCTCAAAAGTGCTAAACTATATTAAAAAATTTTTAATAAAGAGTTTTCTACGACTGACATAAATAAGCATTTAGTACGTTGTAAATCATTCTAATATATGTAAACCACAATATTATTGTAGTGCAGTTCTTGATAAAATATTATGTAATGTTAATTTTGTTCATAGCTGCTAATTTTTCAGCCAAAAGTATTCTAATTTTTAGGGTTTTTTTGTTCTAAAGGCTTTTGTAAAAAGTCCTTTAGTAAAGTTTTATATTCAGGTCATTTTAGTTAGTCTCTTGCTTTTTTCTACCTGATGTTTTCTAGTCTTTTTAACCAGATGCAATAAGGCAGAATTATTAAATTAAACCTAAAATTAAGTTATAGACTTAGAAGCATTATAGTGTTTGTTAAGCATTAAAATTGGAGATTGTACAGAACAAGTTTTTCTTTATGAACAGACCTTAGTGAATAACTTTCTTTTTCTAAATGTCAAGTTAAATTTATTTGCACTCAGAACTCTTATTAATAAAAATGTAAAACACACTGACTCTTTGTTTGAATGGTACCTTCCTTAAGGTCACTTGGGAAATACATAGTGGAAATAGGACCTGCAGGGTTTTTATTTCATTATTCACCTTTTTAAATTTTCCTATTCAGTATTTTTAGTTGAAGTAGATGAATCTGCCCTAAGTTGGGTTAGACAGTATGCTTAGTCTTATCAGATAATTATAGTCTTAATGAATTCTTTCACGCTTAATAGCTGTCATTATGGCATATGTTGCTTATAATATTAAAAGGCGGGGGTAAGGGGGACTAGATTGAATCAAAATAAACACTTCAGGGCTGACGCACTGGCTTTCTGATGCTCATCCCCACCTCACTTTCAGACACGCTGAAACTTCTGCTGTCCCTGGCTGGGTGTTAACCTGGGTAGAGCCTGCAAGTCGGCCTGGTGAAAAGGGGATGGGAAATTTGTATTACGGTGACAGTGTGGATTTTTTAGGATCAAAGAAGTTACCATAAATTGTCAAGAAAGGATCTGTTTTTAAAGCTTTTTCCTTTCTACACAATAAATGCCCCTTTCACATTCAAGTCCCCTTTCGTGTCACTTGAAAGTGTTTTTCCGTTCTGGTTTTTGAGCAAAGAGCATGTCATGTATTCATTCACTGACTGCTTGTTTGCGTGCTCCCTGGGGGGTGTGCGGCATGGTATGAGGTGCCGGGAGAGTAAGGCCCTGCCTCTCCCTCAGTGTGGGCACGAGCCGGGCTGCATCCCTGCCCTTCCATCCACTCCCTGGGCGTCCTTGGGCTACTTAGCAATTACTAGTCTTTTATAATGCTTCCTAGGGTGGCTATGAGGAGTACCTTAAATACTTAGGTTAATGTTTGGCTGAGTGCACGATACATTATAAGCACTCAGTAAACATCAGCTATTGTTATCACAGTTGTTATGAGTTTCCTTTAGGGACTACTTGGAAAAAATAGAGCATAGGTAATGTATACAAAATACATTGACATTATACTTTGAGTAAGATACAAGCAAAAAGAGCTTCTAAACCTCCAAATTAACATAAAATATCTGTACTAAATATATTGTGCCTCTTAGGTCTGCACTTAGAATGTCCCTTTATTCGGCACTAACTGTGTATGACTGATGAGCTGGTTTCCTAATCTACAAAAGAGTAAGTAGAACAGCTAAGTTTTGGAAAGCTTTTCTGAAGACAGTTTTAGTGGCATAAGGAGAGGCAGAGAGTTAGCCTCATAGCAAAAGGACAGTGAAATCCAGAAAACACCGGACTTTGATTGCATAATGTGACAATTTGTAGCCCAGCTCCCTCGCCCTCAGTGTGTGTGTGTGTCCTTGGATATGTTCAAAGCCTCTCCATACCGCCCCTTCCCTCTACGAGGTGGGGCTAATGATAGTACCTACCTCATGGTAGTTGCATACAGTAAATGAGTTCATACATGAAAAAACTTAGAACCATTTGATGCTCAAATTGTTGATGTTCTGGAAAGGTAATGGAGAAAAGGGGGAATGACGTGGTATTGTTGAATTCTATACATGGCGGTTGGTGTTTTTATGTATGTGCTTTTTTCACGTAATCACAAAGCTTTTTCTAAAGAAGGTGCTTACTATTGCTCCCATTTTACAGTTGAGACTAACAGGTTGTAATATATGATGGATTACACAGGTAACAGGCTGCATTCAATAGTCTCAATTTAAGAAGTCCAAAGAAATAAAGTATTTTAGGAAGAGTTTTGCAGTAGTACTCTTTAAGTGGTAAGTGACAGAAACCCAAATAAGACTAGCTTAAGCAGAACAAGGAAATTAATTTTGGCTTGAATCTGGAAAGCTCAAGAAAATGTGGTTTGCTCTGGAGGTTAAAACAGTAGTGCTTACTCTGTCCACCTCTTAGCATATCATTTGCTGGGTATCATTTCCAGATAACTTCTACATTTGCTGACAGTATTGCAATTGGCAGCCCCAAGCCCTAGCATCCCTTCAGCTGGCACCCACCTCAAAGAGAGGAAATCTTTCCTGTAGTTCTGGCAAAGGTCTGCTTGGCTAGTTTACATTACGTGCTCGCCTGTAGGGCTGGTGGCATGTGCATGGGAGGCGTGGACTCCCTACTCTCAGCCCTCTTCATGGAATGATTGGTATTTCTGTGGAGTGGGGGAGGCATTTTTCCCTGATGAAGACACTTTGGGCATAAAAAAGAAAATCATATTTACTGTATTTCCCAATTAATTAAAAAAATTAAAGGCTCTTAACAGAAAAAAACATTGAAAGCCTCTTAATGGAATAAGCATTAGCTAATTACTCCATACGCCTTATTCCTAGGAACAGGCCATTTCTGTGATAAGATAGGATTTCACCATGCTTGTGTTATGAAGTTCATTTTGTTGTTAAAGGTGAGCAATTTCAGCGGTAGGTGAGTCTGCAAGACACTTAAACTACGCTTTTCTACGTTCATAGAAAAGGCTTAGAGATCCAGATACATATTTTCCCATACTAAATGCTACATTTGTGAAATCTATATCTGTATATAAATGAAGACATTCTGTCTCAATCCAGCACAAAACAAAAATTAGAAATAGGTAGCCAGGGTAGGGTAGAAAGAACACAGGCTTTGGGGTTGGGAGTTTGTCACTTGCTAATTACAACCTTGGTCAAATAATTTTGACTTAAGTTTCCTCGGATGGGGAGTATGGCAGATCATATCTTACAAGGGTTATTGTGAGGATTAATAAAAGGATGTATTCTTGAGAGAAGAGAATAAGTAAAACAGTGTGGCATGTCAGCATAGGGAGAGCATCACCTCGTCAGTATCAACGCCCCAAACTTTTGTTTAACAACAGATGCTTGTTAGTATGGAATTTTAAAAACTAAACGTGCTATTTTACCCTATAATCTGCCATCTTTGAAGGTTACAGTTTTCCACAGAAGGCACTTTGCCGCTTCTGGGAACAAGCCGCCTGTGGGAGAAGCAGTTTTACACACATAGTTTTGCTTCACTAGCCGTTTCCATGGAGGAGGAATAGATGGAAATCCGGAGCCCACATTGTGTTCTGAAGACAGGGCATTGAAATTCAGGGTGAAGCCTCCCTGCC